CTGATGATCTCAAAGCCCGAGAAGGAGTATAAGGATGAAGAAGGTCAGAGAGGTATGATGGTGCAAGGCCGTTAATGCACTTGAATGTCAGCAGGAGAATTTTAAAATCAACTCTGACACGTACAGGAAGCCAGTGAAGGGAGGACAGAACCGGAGTAATGTGCTCAAACCTGCGAGTTACTGTTAGTAGCCGAGCTGCAGCATTTTGTACGAGCTGGAGACATGAGAGTGAAGCCTGACTAACCCCAACATAAAGTGAGTTACAGTAGTCCAGCCGAGTTGTGATAAATGCATGGACTAGTTTTTCAAGGTCAGATCTGGACAGAACAGACTTAAGCTTTGCTATCTGCCTTAGCCGAAAGAAGCTTTTTTGTAGAACAGAGTTGATCTGTTTATTAAACTTGAAGTCCGAGTCTAACACTACCCCGAGATTGGTAACTGACTGCTTTAGATGAGGCTGAAGGGAGTGCAGGTTTACAGGATCAGTGACAGTGGTAGAGCTTGGGTTAAACACAATGACCTCAGTCTTCTGATCATTAAAACTCAAGAAATTTGCAGCCATCCAAGTCTTGATGTCATCAAGACATTTTAGCAAAGGGTGGATGGAGCAGGAACTGTTTGGCTTTAAAGGCAGATAGATCTGAGAATCATAGGCGTAACAGTGAAACGAAATACCATGTTTCCTCGGGATTGACCCCAAGGGGAGCAGATACAATGAGAACAGAAGGGGTGCAAGAATGGAGCCTTGTGGGACCCCACAGGAAAGAAGGACAGAAGCAGAAAAATGATTGTCAAAGTTAACACAGAAACTCCTGTCACCCAGATACGAACGGAACCATTCTAGCGCCACCCCTGTAATCCCAACCCAGTGTTCTAGCCGTGACATAAGGATGCTGTGATCAACAGTGTCAAATGCAGCGGTAAGGTCGAGGAGTACCAGGATCACAGACTGACCAGAGTCATTCGCTAGCAGCATGTCATTACAGACCCTTACTAAAGCTGTCTCAGTGCTGTGCAGTTGTTTAAATCCTGACTGAAAAATCCTGACTGAAAAATCTCAAAAATTCCATTTACATTCAAAAACTTGGTTAGTTGACTAAAAACTATTTTCTCCAGGATTTTAGAAAGAAATGGAAGTTTTGAGATTGGCCTGAAGTTTGAACAAGCTGCAGGGTCAAGTCCGGGTTTTTTAATTAATGGAGTTACTACTGCATGTTTTAAAACATCAGGGACCACACCTGTAGCCAAACTGCTGTTAATAATGGCAAGAACAGAGGGTCCAGTTGACGGTAGAACCTGTTTAAAAAATGCAGCAGGGATGGGATCAGCAGGGGAGCCTGAGGGTTTCATGTGACCAACGACCTCATTTAAAAATGAGAGTGAGATGGGGTCAAAGTGACTGAAGACTGCTGAGCAGGGGACAAGAACTGAAGGGTCGACTGTGGAGTGTGACATTGATGACCTAATCGACTCAACCTTTTCAACAAAATGCCTGACAAACTTATTACAGGTGTCAACAGAGGCCTCAATGGTGGCAGACTGAGGCACGTTTAGAATGGTGTTAATGGTGAGTCCAGGATCTGTACACACGCCTCCTGATGCTGAGAAAGCAACTCCTTTGTAGTAAGACCTGCAGAGAGTTCAGAGTCTGAAACAGAATTACCAGCAAAGATGGAAGAGAAGAGTGTGGCGGTGGAAGGGTTAAAAATCCTACAGGGCTTGGGTGTGGGGGGAGGTGCAGGGTCACAAATCAATGAGTTGTTGAATAAAACCGGTTTGTGGTCGGAACAAACAGTGTCACCAATTTCTAAACCAGAAACAGACAAATCGTGCGTTAAAACTAAGTCTAGAGTGTGGCCCTGCTGGTGAGTCGGACCAACAACACTCTGCACAAAGTTAAAGGACTGGATGAGGTCTAGAAAGTCCTGAACTAATGGTTTATCAGGACAGCACACGTGGATATTAAAGTCTCCTAAAATCAAAACCCGATCATATTGGAGCAGAACACCAGTTAGAAAGTCAGATAGTTCATTTAAAAACTGTTTATGGTATCCGGGGGGTCTGTAAAAAATAGCACACAGAACTGGGTTGGAGCGGCCCAGCTCACAACAGAGCAGTTCAAAACTTGAATAATTAACTGAACCATGGAGCTGTCTGCAGTGCAAATGTTTCTTAAAAACAGCCAATAATCCTCCACCACGACCAGTTGTCCTTGGAGCATTGAAAAAAGAACAATCTGGAGGTAGTAATTCCAGAAAAACACTGAACTCACCAGGGCAGATCCAAGTCTCAGTGATGAAAAGAAAGTCCAGTCGGTTGCAGCAGAAAAAGTCGTTCAAAATAAAAGTTTTATTAGCCAGCGATCTGGCATTTATCAGGGCCATTCTCGTAGAATCCACCACAGGAGGAGATGGTTGCAGTGTCCTGTCCAGCGGCCTCAGATTTGCAGAGTTAGATGCGCGCCTCCGGCAGGAAACCCAGCCGCGCACGGGCCCAGTGTGATGATGGGACCCCGACAGCGGGACCAGACAGCGCGCCACAGGATCTGTACAGCGCCAGGAGCGGAGGTGGAAACGTTCACCATCAGCTGGAGAGGATGTTTCAGAGGCAGCAAGTAGGGCTTTAAGTTTCACCAGCCGGCCAGCGCGTTTTCCACGGCGTCTGGAGCGACGTCTCCGGGGAGGCAGGTGCATGCCTCGCTGCAGGTAAGCAGGCACGTCCGCCAGCAGCGGGGGGACAGGGGGGGTCCAGAGTTACGCTTGTATTGATCAAAATAAGCGACATTGGTGCCACAAGGTCGAAGATCCAAAAGTTGTTTTCGTTCATACACCAGCAGAGCGTTGATGTCACAGATGAGAAATGAAAAAAACACCAAAAATACGAAAACCATCAGCAGAGGTGGATTGCAAGCCATGTACACAGGCGCCATCTTACCGGAAGTTTTACTACTTTGAATCGATAAAAATCGATAAAAATCGATAAAAATCGATAAAAATCGATGATTCAAAGCGTTGGCAACGAATTTCGTTATCGATTCGTTGTGTCGCGCGATTATGTATCTTTCACGGCGCTGCAGAGCCGTTTTGTTCACCTGCAGTTCATTGTCAATGCTGACTGAATAAAGTTTGAAAAAAAAAACCTCTGCAGCACGAGTTGAACAGAGCGAGGGGGGAGGTGGAAGAAAAGCAGAGTGTTTTCAAAGCAAAATAAGTAAATTTTACAAATGACCGACGCAGCGAAAACTGTTTGACCCAAGTCCTCCAAAGTGTGGGAGAACTTAAAGATAAAAAATGAGAAACATGCAGCTTTGAAAATCGCCGACACGACACGAGAAAACCACGCTGATAAACGTAAACATGTCGGAGTCACGAGGAGGAGGAAGGAGCTGAACAGCAGATACAACATGTCTCACTCCTAACTCGTGTTGCAGGTGAGTCTCTACAATTTAACACATTGTTCCGTTTCCAAGAGAGAAACGTAACGTCAGTCTGTCTGGTAGATGAAGCTGTTTGTTTGTTTGTTTATCTGATTAATGGTGGTGATAGAGAACGTGTGTTACTTTTTATTTAATTTAATTGGTACAATCAGTGTTTAAATGTGATTTATAAATAAATCTAGCACAAAGATAATAATTTAATGATTAAGCTTCAACTTTTAATTTGCTGGCAAAGTCTGAAGACACTGCAGGTATGGCAGGATGAATTGCATTTAAACAGGAATTAAAGTAATTTATTACATCTACTCAAATGTGTGTAATTAAGTATTTTATGTGTGTGTGCGTTTAATTGCTCTTTTAGCTGCTTTTGCCTGAACCTTGAGTTGCTGTAAATTATGCTATAAAACATATTTACTGTCTCATTCCAGAAAACAACAACAAACAACAACATCCTTCATGATGGACAGACATCATGGACACCACAGCAGCAGCTGTCTTCACTGAAACATCCTGAACATGATCGTCACTGACATGAGGCCTCTGTCGATGGTTGAAGACGAAGGCTTCACTACAATAATCCACACTTTTAATCCAGGTTACACTCTTTCCTCAAGGACACATTTTACAAAGTAGCTACATATTGTGCAGGTATAAAGACACATTTGTATATATTTTTGTGTACATTTATTTTTTTAAGTTATGTGACTAACTTTTATTTTTTTATTATTCAATATTTTACTAACAGAATAGTCAAATAGCAACCTGTTTTTTGTGCGAATTGCTATGTCAGTCAAATGTTTAATTTTGGAATAAAGGGGTGGAAATTAAAACGTTGTTTTTTTGTTTGTTTTTTGCCGATTCATCGATTAATTGAAAAAATAATCGGCCGATGAATCGATTATTGAAATAATTGTTAGTTGCAGCCCTACATTCATACACCGATGGGACACATTGGAGACATTTAGGGGTTCAGTGTCTTGCCCAGGGACACTTTGGCATGTGACTGCTGGTGGAATCGAACCCCCAATTCGCATATTGGAGGACTACTGCTCTAACCACTCAGTCATAACTGCCCTCATGAAAATGTATCATTTCAGACAAAAAAATCTTTATAAGTCCCTACATTTGTACAGAAAACAAAGTTGTTTTTTTTTTCAAGGTTGGCTTCTCTTTGGCACCATTAAAGCCTTCGTGACCAAACATATCTGCAGTCTTTAGCAAAATGACTATTTTACAACTGACTTATTTGAAGACTTGTCGTTTAGTCTCACATAACATTATTGTGCAAATGCAATATTGCATATATTAAAAATATTTTACGCCGGACAGAAAACTTTTTACATTCAAGATTCAAACACGTGTTTTTGTGTACAAATACTCGTCAAACTTCCAGTACGCGTTCATTTTCTAAACATTTCCTCATGAATCCAGAACTAAAGAGGCTACTTACTCAGAGATCTGAGGAGCTGCAGCGGTTCTTGACTCTGGGCACCACCAGGATCTCGTCTCCATCTCGGATGCTGTAGGAGTGGAGCGCCCTGAAGCCACACTTCAGCTCCTTGGGTCAGAGCACCAAGCACATCTCTTTGTCGATGTGGAACAGCCGGACGCCGTTGGTGGGCAGCTGCAGCAGGGCTAGTAGCTGTTTTTTCAGGTACACCACTGTCTGCTCCAGACGGAAGCTGACGGGCTGTACCTGGTCGCCCCAGCGGACTTCCATCACGGTGCTGAGGGGAGTCAGTTCCACCTCTGCCAGTGAAGCTAGCTGACCATATTTGGACACAAGAACGTGGTACCTCAGAAAATTTCTGCTCCAGACAATCTTGGTAATACCTGATGAAGAACCTCTCAGCGTCTTCTCTCTCTGCATCAAAAACAGCACTGCCGTTCAGAAACATCACAGATGGCAGCTGTGATAGAAGAAGGCTTAGTCTCTCCTGGTTGCTGTAAGGCTGTAATAAAGGAATCTCCTGAGTTTTGACTTCCTCGTATGAGTGGAACCATTCTAATACAGCACCTGTAATCCCAACCCACCGTTCCAGTCATGATATAAGGATACTGGGGTCAACAGTATCAAAAGCAGTAAGGTTCAAGAGTACAAGTACCACAAATTGACCAGAATCAATACCATAATATCATTACAAACCCTCAATAATGCCGTTTCAGTGCTGTGGAGTTCCTTAAAACCAGACTGAAAAATATCAAAAGTCCTGTTCTCGTTCTAAAACTCATTTAATTGAATAAAATCCATTTTCTACAGGATTTTGGACAGGAAGTTTCAAGATTGGTCTTAAATTTGAGCAAGTCGAAGGGTCAAGTCCAGGTTTCTTAATTAACAGATTAAGTACTGCATGTTTGAAAGCAGACCTGTCCCGGTCTGCCCGTCTGCCAGGGCTTGGGGTCCGGCCTTCATGAGAATGCAAGGCTGGGGCCCAGACCCTGGCCTTCTGTGTGTCGGCAGCTCTTATGATTCTTGGCGGTGACCAATGGAATTCAGAGCTCTCAAGGCCGGGGCTCCTGTGGGTCAGCAGTACGGAGGATCTTCTGTGGTGACCGACGGAGCTCGGAGTCAGGGCGATGACGCCCTGCCCGGCCTAAGGAGGCTCTGCTGGAGAGGACCGGAGAGACAGGTGGAGCTCCATCTAGCTCGTTCTGAATTTTGTCTTCGGCCAACAAGCACAAAAAATGCCTGCACTTCAGCATTAGACCACGGTGTTGTCATTATTTTTTTAATCTTTAAAATAGGTCCAGTCGCTCCTCGAGTTCGAGTTATTGCAAATAGCGGATCTTGTTGTTGTGAAATCACCAGTGACTCCACCCCCTGATCAATCAGTGACCGACAGTGTTCTGACGTCACCTTTTGGTGCCAGTTCGGCCAGCTTGGAACCCCAGAGAAAAGGGTACTGAAAAAAAGGACTGGTTCCAAGAACCATTACTAGAGGGAAAGCCTTGGAACTATGCCGAGTCGAACGGGGCTGCACTGTTACTAATGAAAAAGGGGAATAACATCTGCAATAAATGAGGACTACTGTACACAAAACTCCCAATGATTTCTCTGCCTTGGTTCTGATCCTAGCCTTGTCCTAGTGTTTACAAAACCAAACCTAGGCGACTACTAAAAAGAACAGTCTCACATTAGGAATGCACAATATATACGGTACACGGCAGAAATGATAGACATTTAGCCTATGATAGAGATCTGTCTTCTACCGGCTAGCCATAGTAATGTTGTGTCTAATGTAAAATTAGAGTTGTCAGATTTAATTGTTACTTTTTTTTAGTTGAAATCTGTGCATAAGTGGAGTTAAAGTGTAAAACCAGAGTTGTCAGATTTAAACATTACTTTTTTTACTTGAAAACTGTGCGTAAGCGGTTGTAAAGTCCTTTCTTCGAGAGCTAAGTAGCGAAGCTACAAGCTAGCTACGGTCGGCTTGCCATAGTGTTGCCGTATTCGGACGCATGCGCAAAATGCTGTGTTCCGTCAAAAGTTGTTTTTTTTCGTCTAAAGTCGAAAGCGTTGGTCAGCTTTAGAGAAACCGGCTCTCTGATCTATGAAAAGAACGCTGTGTTGTGTGATTTTATTGCGAGACCCTCTGGTCAAAGCCACAGAAGAAACTGAGGAGACATTTTTCCTGTAAATGATAGCAACAGGTTTTTTCGGTCCTCAGGGAGCAATGGTAACTATCCAATGAAATGACTGAGTGATCATATTTTGGTAAAGATCTTAAGATTTAACAGTTACAACACCACCGTTTTACATTATTACATATTCACACTGTACAACACAATATAAACTTATGATTTAATCTCACACTTATTCATAATTTCACACTCACATATTTATACATCATTAAATATATCAGAAAATTTGGGAGCATTAGTTTATTTGAGGGATTTCCTCAAATCAGGGAGGATTGTAGAATTTAAGAAACTTTATTAATTGGATAATCTGTTTTATAATAAGGCCCAAGCAAATATCACACTTTCACACATTTCCACACAACACAAAAACTTTTTGACACTGAACTCTGCATAATTAAAAAAACAGGTTATACACTCAACACATGCTCATGTGCTCATTCAATTTGCACTACTGTTTACATTTGCACTACTGTTAATATTCAAACTACTGTTCACATTCAAACTACTGTTTATATTCATACCACTGTTGATATTCCAACTACTGTTTATATTCATACTATTGTTCATATTCAAACTACTGTTCATATTCATACTACTGTTCATATTCATACCACTGTTCATATTCATACTACTGTTCATATTCAAACTACTGTTTATATTCAAACTACTGTTTATATTCATACTACTGTTCATATTCATACTACTGTTCATATTCAAACTACTGTTTATATTCAAACTACTGTTTATATTCATACTACTGTTCATATTCAAACTACTGTTCATATTCATCCTACTGTTCATATTCATACCACTGTTCATATTCATACTACTGTTTACATTCACACTACTGTTTACATTTGCACTACTGTTTACATTCACACTATTGTTTACATTTGCACTACTGTTTATATTCATACTACTGTTTACATTCACACTACTGTTTATACTCACACTGCTGCTTATATTACACTACCGCTGATATATAAATATATTTTTTACTAGTCTTATTGCAGATATCACTTTACCTACACCAATATCAAGGACTTCATACATACACTGTATACATTCACTTCATATGCTGCTTTGCCACTCACTACAAATATCAATGTTAGGACCTTCATTTCATTTCATTTTATTTTATAGATATACTTTTTTTTAAATATTTTTATACCGCTATAGTACAATTTAATTAAGACAGTATCATGCTTTTATTATTTCATTTTATGCTTATCTTTAATACATGTTTTAATGTTAGATGGTTATTGTTGCACCGGGGTCTGAGAGAAATGTAATTTCAATCCTGTGTATGTCCTGTACATATTGCAGCTTTTGACAATAAAGTGACTTTGACTGATATGTATTTTAACTTACAAGGACTTGCAGAGATTGTGTTCAAACAGAAATTGTTTTTAACAGATTCTGAGATGTGTTTATCTGTATCTAAAAGTACCAGGAATTTCTGGGCGCAAGATCAAGTGTTTATATAAGACTGTTTTCAATCATAACTGCTTATATAAGACTGTTTCCCAGCAGAACTGTTTTTATCAACTAAAGTGTTACAAATGACTTGTCAGACTGACCTGAAAAGAATGTGCTCGTAGGAAAATCATTGTGTGCGTCAGAGACTCTGGAAAACTTCTGACAAGCTCATGTTCGTGTGCTGTTTCATAAGTGTATAAAAACTCTGATAACGTCCCCATCAGAAGGGGTTCTGTCTTTGAGGTCTCCAGGTATTTTGGCTGTTCCACCTTAGAGATAAAGCTTCAAAATAAAACCCCCATTTTGCTGTCAATCAGAACCAAGGTGTCTCCTGTTTAATTTAATGAACCCAAAAGTATTTAATGTAGTATTAACCACTACAGTCAGTTTGTGTCAGCTCTCCATTAAAGCGGAAGGAGACACCCACTAGAGGGTTGGAGAGTTAAGAGTTTCCAGCATGCACTTGCTGCTCTGTTGATGTTCATTTCTTAAATGAGAATATACTGGAAACTGTTAAGAGTTAACAAGATATTGTTTTGTTTAAAACATTTGGCTAAAACTACATTTGATATCTTTAGCAATGTTTTGCACTACAAGAAAGAAGTCTAATACTTGATTTGTTTATTATTTAAAAACTCTCTGGACCTAGTGGTGGAATTTTCTTAACTGAGATTATTTTGTGGTATAGCAGTTTTTAAAATAAATTATGGCAAAGGACACCCTATGGTTTTCTTCATTCCTATTGTAAGTTTTATTCCAAAAACATATTGTGATATATATCGTTATCGCCACCCTTCACAATACATATCGTGATGAATTTTATGCCAAATCGCACATCCCCATCTCACATAAAAGAAAACATCCTCAAGCTTCCTTATGGTGGAGGGGGAGGGGTGTGATGAGCATCTAGCCAGCTGTTATTGGAACATCATTCCGCAAACAGTGATACCAAAGCATTAGAATAACATACCATTCAGATAAAATGACAGAATAAGATAAGATGGCTCACACATAAGGATCATTATATAATGAAGTATCACATATATAAGATGAGATAGGCACTATATAAGCACAGTCCATTTACCATTTACATACGTTTCCCCTGACAAAAGCATAAACAGCACTCAGAATACACAACCTACGGATGTGGACAGTAACTGTGGTAACTGACCACAAACCTACACACCTCACAGCCTATTTAACAATAAACCTGAGAACTGAACACTTTAAGTTCTGTGTGACCTCTTGTGAATCTTTAATAGGTCATGGGACAAATCTTGTACTGGGTTTTTGAGTTTGTGGAAACTCATTGGGTGCAAGCAAACTCCACTTGAGTTAGGTGCAGGATGCTGTCAGGTAATTTTAGCTTCATGTCAAAAAGTAGCCCAATACTACAGTAAAGTTCGAGTTTAACCTGGACAATTCTGACATCGTTTCATCCATATTTTGATGTTAGGACGTGATGTAAACATTATTCATCTTACAGGAATGACATTGTACTAATAAAAAAAAAAAAATCGATACAGGTTAGTCTTGTTAAAACACAATTAGTTAATTTGCATGAGAAAACACAAATAACATTTCATGGGGTCTGACAGTTTGAAAATACAGGTGCTGGTCATAAAATTAGAATATCATGAAAAATGTATTTCAGTAATTCCATTCAAAAAGTTAAACGTTTATATTATATTCAGTCATTACACATAGACTGATATATTTCAAGTACTTTTTTTTTAATGTTGA